TGGAAAAAGCACTCTTAAACATGAAATGGCCCGATTCCCTGAGATGTTCGGAGTAGAGCTTCCTGTGGCAAGAAAACATCAAGAGGAAGGGGTTCCCTGGGCTTCCTGCTCTGAACTGACAGCAACTGTGAGAAGCTCTGGGTTAAGGGGGAAGAAGGACAAACAACGTAGCCTGGGTTTTATCTCAGCTTGAGGTGGGCTGGATGTTAATGTGTTGAAAGGTTTAATCTTGGATGACAAAGTTTAGGGATATGACACCTAGTATTGAAATAAGCAAAACCTTTCGGAGAAAAAAGCAAAACCTAGTCAGTCACATCACTGCCATAATCCTGACTGTTTAGAGTCACCTCCTGAAATATGTGCGTTTGCAGTACTTTGTCTTTGAGCATACGGATACTGGAACTGCCTTAAGTCAGTAGAGAAGGATTGGGATTAGGGGTCCCGAGTACTGGACCAGTAACTGCATCAAAACGCCCTCTGCAAGGTATTCTGTTCTTTGCTCACATCCATCAGCATTCTCATATTTTGTTTTAATTTGGGAAAGGACAAGAGGACTGCAAGAAGGTGAAATTACAATAGATCAGGTTGAAGAAGGTGGGGCTTTGGGGACCACGTGTGTCTTCCACCCCACCGTACCCCTGGAAGTGCCCAGGTCCCCTTCCAACGCTGCAGTCCTGCATCCTTCCTTCCCTCTGGCCCCGCATTCGAAGTTATTTCCTGCACTTTCGTAATCCAAACTTGCTTCCCCACAACCATTTTCTCCTCGTATTCTAACCTTTAAAATCCTTTTTAATAGCCTCATAGCGCTTGAAAGGCATCTCAAGATATCTCAGACCTTTTGTTATTAAATTTTATTTATTTTAATTTCATATTTCCTCTGACTTTTTTATTTTTATTGATATTTAATTTATGACTTTGCTTTTTTTAATCTTTGATCTGTTTGGTTCTGAAAAGGGCACGTTAAAGTTTACTAATGACAAAAAAAGAAAAAAGAAGATATCTCAGGCTTCTGCCTGAGGGGTATTCCAAGAAGTTAGGAGAATGCTTAGTAATACCTGAGTTATATGCTTACCGATGCCCTAGAATTGTTTGTAATCCAATGACCAATGTTAGCATTGAATACGTAGTGAAGTTCTGTGTCATTTTTCTCCGAGTGCAGTTGTATTTTCTTGCCAATTACAGGAAGATGTTGATCAAGTGACTCTTTATAGCTACAAAGTCCGGTCTACTATCACTTCCCGAATGGCCAACACTGTCATCCAAGCCAAAGTGGTGAACCACTCCCCACAGCCTCAGGATGTCGTGTTCGATGTGCAGATTCCCAGAGGAGCCTTCATCTCCAACTTCTCCATGTGAGTGACTCCTGTGCAGAACCAGACACTGGATATGCTCTGCTCGCAGAATCGAACCCCGTCACAGTTAGGATGGACCTTAATGGCCACCTATTCCAGTGGTTCTCGCTTTCAGAGCTGTGGACCCCCTGGACATCAAGAGTCATCTTGGGCTGGGTCCCAGTATTTTGCTTCTGTTCAGAGTAACAGAATTTGTGAAGCACTTGCTTTTCTTTTCTAATAAATTAAAGCATCCTTAAGCCTATCTCTGTGGTAACAACCTCCCACTTACTTGGGGAGAGAAAAATATATGGAGTTGCCCTGGGTTACAGGAAACCGTATATGAGTGTGTAGGAGGCTGCAGGTCAGCATCATCTATCACATGTTTCTTTACGGGGAAAAAAAAAGTGGAGAACCACTGATTAAATCCGGTCACGTGTCCAGTGCTTGAATTCCTCTGTGTAGCCGCTGACTAGTGAGAATTATCCAGGCTTGACTTGAATATCTCCTTAATGATAAACTCACTACTTTCCAAGGCAATTCACTCAGTGGTTGGCAGCGCTTAGAATTATTTCTGCCACTTAATTGAAATCCGTTCCATTTCCTACTCAATGACTCTAGTTCTATTCACAAAAGAACTTTTAAAAAATTCCCTACAAAATGCATACTGAAATGTTCAAGGATGAGATGGTCAGCTATCTGAGATTGGCTTCAGAATAAATGAGGTGGAAGGAGGGGGTATAGACAATGGAGGTTGGCTGAGTATTGATAATGGTGTAACTCAGTGATGGTTTCGTGGAGGTGTCTTACATTATTCTATTTTTTTGTATACTTAAAGATTTCCATAATAAAAAAATTTTAAACCACTCAAATGTCTTTCAAATAGTGAAGGCCAGTTATTTTGTTCCCACCCTGAGGCTTCATTCATCAAGGGTAAACTTTCCCTGTTCTGCCAATAGAGGAATAAATAAAATAAAAGGTTCAAATACCAAGCACTTAATGGCAGAGCCATTTTAATTATATTTTCTAAACTAAACAAAGGTGAGGGGAACAAAAGGCAATTTGTAACTTGGACTTACTGGAATTGGAATTCATGGATTTTGAATCCTTCAAATAGTCTGAGAAATTTATTTCCAAAGAAAAATTTTTTTAGTCAGCCTTTTCTAAAAAGCAAATGTAGAAGGAAAAGCTTTTATGTAGTGGTATTATATGACACTGTCTAAAAAAATATATTAAAATTAGTTTAATAAATTCTTATTTTTAAACTATATGACTAGATATTCCAGGTGTCTCATCTTTCTGTTTTCCTTCATTCTTTCCCTTCGTCCCCATCTCATTCCTTAGAAGATTTGAGGTGATGAAAGACAGAATTGTGAAATATATGTTTATTTTGATCTCTCTGTACTCCCGGCTGAATGTATAAATCAGAGAAGATAGCTCCTTACATCACCACAATTTAATATGAACCACACAGACCTCCATCTCCAGTCAAAAAACTTCTCCTGCCTATTTATCAAGGTTCCAAATATTCCACCATTAGAGATTATTTCCTTTTGTCATAAAGACTTTTTGGTCTTCGAACCTTAGCATGATTTGAAGGAAATAGTGCCGACCTGGGCACTCGGGGTCCAGTTCTAGCTCTGCCCCTGAGCAAGTGTGTGACCTCAAGCAGGTCGCTTGTCTCCTTGGCTCTGATTTCTCTCACCTACAGAGGTGAACCAAGCGTGCTCGACAAGCATGCTGTTGGCATTTGGGACAGGAAACTCCACCTCACGTTGCAGAATGTCTAGCACTCTTGGGGTCGTCCCATAATGCCAGTAGCCCTTCTCAGTCATCAGAACAGCCAAAAATTTCTCCATGCACTTCTAAATACCTCCTTGGGGAGAGATGCTGCCCACTTGAAGGCCAGATGTTCCATTTTGCTTCTAAAATTCTGTCATTCGACTGCTCCAGCTAACCATTATTGGGACGGATTAGGTGACGGCCAGCTAAGAGACAGAGGTGACATGAGCACACAGAGGTCCCCGAGGGAGATGTTGGAGAGAGAAACACAAACTGTGCAAAGAGATTGACAAGCACCTTTCTTCATCTTTCTTTGCTATTTTCCACCCTCACAGGAGAGCGTGATGCCCCCAGGCCACCCCAGATCCTTAACACACAGGAGAATGATCTTATAAACCAAAAGTCAGCCAGATAACTAGTGACTTACCAGTCACCAATCCTAGGCACATTTGTCATTCCAAAGGGATGCACGAGAGAAAAACCCTTAATCTGAAGGGTGAAACTGGAAAATGAAGAAACATTTTAAGAAAAATTTATATTGGAGTATAGTTGATTTACAACGTTGTGTTATTTCAGGTGTACAGCGAAGCGATTCAGTTGCACATATACATGCATCTATTCTTTTTCAAATTCTTTTCCCCTTTAGGTTATCACAGAATATTGAGTAGAGTTCCCTGTGCTATACAGTAGGTCCTTGTTGGTTATCTATTTATATGCAGTAGTGTGTATGTGATAATCCCAGTCTCCTAATTTACCTCTCCCCCTTCCACGTTTCCCCTTTGGTAACCATCGGTTTGTTCTTTAAGTCGGTGAGTTTCTTTCTGTTTTGTAAATAAGTTCATTTGTATCATTTTCTTTAGATTCCACATATGAGCGATATCATATGATATCTGTCTTTCTCTGTCCAACTTACTTCACTTAGTATGATCATCTCTAGGTCCACCCATGTTGCTGCAAATGGCGTTATTTTATTCATCTTTATGCTGAGTAGTATTCCACTGTATATCTGTACCGCATCTTGTTGATCCATTCCTCTGTCGACGGACACTTAGGTTGCTTCCATGTGTTGGCCTTTGTAAATAGTGCTGCTATGAACGTTAGGAAGAAACATTTTAAACACTACAATATGCGAGAGGAAGTTTTTAGGACGGGAGCCCACCTCACCTCTCTTAATCACACTATCAGATAAAGGAACTCCTGTGAAATATGCAAACGTCTCCGTGTTTCCTGCAGGTTCAAAATGATAATTAAATAATTCATTAAGTCCACCTGGTTGGGTTGTTGGCTTGTTGTTTGTTTGTTGTGCTAAGACTACTATTTGGACCAACTGTAGGCCCTCTGTCATTTTTTAGGACTGTGGATGGCACGACATTTACTAGTTCTGTTAAGGAGAAAACGGTGGGCCGAGCCCTCTACTCGCAGGCCAGAGCAAAAGGCAAAATGGCTGGATTGGTGAGGTAAGGGGGGGGGGTCCTCATCCACTGCTGCCCCCACTCAACCTCAAAACCAGCCTCCAAGAAGGCACAGAACCTCATCCTCAGGTGACAGAGTTAGGTATCTCCGTTCCTGTTTCCCTAAGGCCTCCTGCAACACATGAGTTTTGGATGATCTCACACGTGTTAGCCTTACATAGCTTGCCTTGCATGTAGATGGCTGTCCTGTCACTAAACACTGATTCCCAGCAGAGTACAGAGAGGAACTACAGAAATATTGGTGATCGGGGCTTCCCTGGTGGCGCAGTGGTTGAGAGTCCGCCTGCCGATGCAGGGGACGCGGGTTCGTGCCCCGGTCCGGGAGGATCCCACATGCCGTGGAGCGGCTGGGCCCGTGAGCCATGGCCACTGAGGCTGCGCGTCCGGAGCCTGTGCTCCGCAGCGGCAGAGACCACAACAGTGAGAGGCCCGCGTACCGAAAAAAAAGAAAAAAAGAAATATTGGTGATCTTGTTACAGCACCACATAACACAGAAAGAAAGGTTTGGAATTTGTCTTAATGATCTTCTTGGCCTATTTTTATGGGGTGGCACCTTTTTCAGCACAGTTACTTAGTTTAGATTCTGTTTATTTTTTTCCCCTTATGGTCTTAAATAAGACACTGGAAATGCCATGCCACCCTCAGAGAGGCAGCCTCTCCCACCAGAAATGTCAGAGGAATGTTCACTGATCCCCACACTGCGTATCTAAGCCGCCCTCAGATCCTGCCATCTTCTTTTCTTCATCTTCTTCTCCTCCTCCAGATGCCCAAATTTCCCCTTAGCTGAAGTTCTTTTCATTTCATTCATGTGTTCATTCATTCAAAAAAATGCACTGAACCTTAACACTGTACCCAGCTCTGTCAAAGGTGACAGCAACACTGCAACAAACACCGTCAGGCCAGTGGAGGAGATGGCCACGGAACGGACAGTGTATAGGTGACTATAACATATAGATGACCATAACATATATAGCATATAGGTGACTATAATATATATATCATATAGGTGACTGTAATACATATAACATACAGGTGACTGTAATATATATAACCTATAGGTGACTATAATATATATAACAGATGACTGTAATATATATAACAGATAGGTGACTGTAATATATATAATATATAGGTGACTATAACATATATGCCATATAGGTGCCTACAGTATATATATATATTATATAGGTAAGTGTAATATATATAATATATAATGGGGTAATATATAATGGTATAATATGCTAATGTAGAGATGGTACAAAACCCTATGGGAGTTCCAAGTACCAAGTGAACAGTTCTGTCCGGGGATCCAGATCATCACAGAAGACTCGATGTTTGAGCTGAGCCCAAAGAGATTAATAGAATTCAGCCAGGAGAAAGGAGAAATTCCAAGCCAGGGAACATCTCCAGCATGCCTCCAGGTGAATAAGTGCTTTAAGTATCATTCTGCCGTCTTTACCCGTCACTTTGACCACATCATCCATCCGTTTATTATCTCTTCATTCCACAAATATTTATTTGCAGCAGAAACTCCTCCAGGTACTGCGGATACAGCAGAGAGCACGGAGCTCGCGTTGTAGCCTGCCCTCCCCCACCCAGATACATCAGGCCTCTCACCCCACTCTCTACTCCTAAGCTCTGTACCCAGCTGTGCTCATCTTTTTCTTCAGCTGCCCTGTATCCCAAGCTCACTTCTTCATGGTACTTCCCTGATCCCGAACGATCCGATTATGCATGGTCTCACCTTGCTTATTTAGCTGTTTAATTTGTTTTTTAATCACCCATTGTTTCTCCTAATGCTCAAATCTCCCTCATTTGACAATCCTGCTGTTTTCTCTTTAAAACCATAAACACCTCAAGATTAATGATCACGTTGGACTTGGTGTGTATGGGACTAAATAAGGCATTAGTGCTGGAAATACACATTCAATTTGATGAAATAATAGATGTCTTCTTTCTGAAGACTTTCAAAATATAAAGAATCTCTAGAATGAGTCTCAAAAGCAGTAGAGGAAAGGTGTGCTGTCTTTGGAATCATCTAAACTTGGGTTTGAGTTCCTACCGTACAACTGACTCACCATGTGGTCTGGAGCGATTACTTACCCTTTGTGAGCCTCATCTGTCATCATTTGATAACTAAGGGTATTGGGATCCAGCTTGCAGAGCTGCTATAATAGCAATGATATGTGTGTCCAGTTCCTGGCACATAATAGGTGATCAATAACTAGTAGCTCTTTGCAGATGACACTCAAATCTGTAAGAAGCTCTGGAAGAAAAAGATCAGGTAGGAGAGGAGAAGAAAATTCCAGGCTGGTGGAATGAAATTTATCTAGAAGTTGCAGTTACCTCTACTGTACCTACCGTTCATTCTTCTGAACAATGAGCAGGTTGCTAGCCCAGGGAAGCCCGACTGCCCTCTGCGTAGGTTCTGCCTGTGATGACTCACGTGGGGGGCTCGCACCTGTAGGAGCAGAGCCCTCGATATGGAGAACTTCAAAACCGAAGTGAACATCGCCCCCGGAGCCAAGGTGCAGTTTGAACTTCATTACCAGGAAGTGAAGTGGAGGAAGCTGGGGTCCTACGAGCACAGGCTCCACCTGCAGCCAGGACGACTGGCCAAGCACCTGGAGGTGAGCCCATCCCTCTACGGCTCTGTCCCTCATCTGTGCTTTCTGCCTGTCCCCACTCTTTGTGGTGTTCCATGCCACTCGACACTGCAGGTCAGGGTGGCGTGCAGAAAGGATTCTGGGTTTGGAGTCAACCAGGCCACTTCCTTGCAGATTTCAATGCCAGCTCATCTCCTTATTAGCTGTGCAGTTCCCTGTGGCCTGTTGTAACAGATGACCACACACTGGGTGGCTGAGAACAACAGAAACGTCTTCTCACACAGTTCTGGAGGATGGAGGTCTGAAATCAACTTGTTGGCAGGGCTACGTGCCTAAAGGCTGCCAGGGAGAGTCTATTCTTGCTTCTCCTGGTGTCTGGAAGCTGCTGGCATTCCTTGACTTGTGGCCACATCACTCTAATCTCTGCCCCCCTGGTCACGTCACCAGGGTGTGACCTGTTCTGAGTGTCTTCTGAGTGTCTCGAGTCTCCCTCTGCCTTGCTCTCGTAAGAACACTTGTCGTTGGCTTTAGGGCCCATTGGGTAGTACAGGATGATCTCATCTCAAGATCCTTTATTGCATCTGCAAAGACCCCCTTTTCCAAATCAGATAGTAGTCACAGCTTTCAGGGATTTGATGTAGACACGTCTTGGGGGGGAGCTCCATTTAACCCACTACACTGACCTTCCACATGGGACAAGCTATCCTGAGCCTCAATTTTCTCACCTGTGAAAAGGGTACTACAACGTTCTTAGACTCCTTGGTTACAAGTGAGATGAGCTTATGGAAGTAGGTGGCAAATGATAGCAGCTTAGTGGAGGCTGAGGTAGTCGTCTTCATCTGCTCCACGTTCCCCGCATTGCACTCCAACTCCCTTCACCTCGAGAGCAGTGCCTGCGGCAGGGCATTGGCTGCCAATTTGAACTCACCTCTGCTGTAATCTTCACCTCTTGCCGTGAGAACTGAGCTGCTCTTTTCTTGGCTCGAATCTTATTGACATCACATGACCACTTGTGTAAGAGGCAGAGCAGAACTGGAAGAAACCCAGGGAAGTGCACAGTTCGACCTGCTCTCCATTTGACACATAGGAAGGTGAAGCAGACAGGTTGTAATTTGCCCATTGATGTAGAAGATTCAAGGGGATGAATGAATGGATCATGGTAAAATTCTCATTCCATTCTTATTTCTAAATAAGAATAGAATGGGGATTTCCCTGGTGGTCCAACGGTTAAGACTCTGTGCTCCCAATGCAGGGGGCCCAGGTTCGATCCCTGGTCAGGAAACTAGATCCCACATGCCACAACTAAAAGATCCCGCATGCTGCAACTAAGACCTGGTGCAGCCAAATAAATAAATAATTTTTTAAATAAATAAGAATGGAATGGAATAGAGTAGATGAAGGGGAATTAAATCCCAGAGAAATGAAGCAATAGAAGGGGAATACTAGGTTGCCCAAAAGGTCTTCAGCCTACATGGTGAGATGCATTGTGTCACACAGAATTTAAAGAACTTGCAGAAGTGATGCTGGAGCCATGCTGGGTCATCTTTGGGAAATCCTGAAGATGAGAAGAACAGCAGAGGACTTAGTAAGTGTACTTCTTGCTCAATCTTGAAATATTTTAATGCTTTGAGTAATTTCTTTCCCACCTCTAGGTAGATGTGTGGATTATTGAACCTCAGGGAATGAGATTTCTTCATGTTCTGGACACATTTGATGGGCATTTTGATGGAGTTCCCGTCGTATCTAAAGGACACCAGAAGGTACCACAAGCATTGATGTTACAGAGTCTAAGTGGCCACTTGCTCCTGGGTTCTGCTCTCCTCCTCTGCTCTGGGGGATAGAAAAGCCATCAGGTGCTGAGCTGAGGGAACTATATGAAGGAACAGTGATTCCTGAGCAAAGTCTAGGGTCTCCCACAGGATATACAGAATAATATTACGGATTGTTTCATTGCATTTTGACCAGAGTCTGTTCCTTTTGGAGGTCCTGTCCCATTTCCCCCAGGTAATTTCACTTTAGCAGTAGCTAAAAGACAGTTTTCACAGGGACTTGAAAACCACTGGTCCAGTGGTTAAGACTCTGCGCTTCCACTGCAGGGGTGCGGGTTTGATCCGTGGTTGGGGAACTAAGATCCTGCATGCTGCGTGGTGCAGCCAAAAAAAAACAGTTTTCACATAACACACAGTGGATTTTCATTAATCACAGCAAGAAATACTCAGCCTAATTCTCTCTGCCTTAATGGCCAATAGTAACCACCTTTGGAGGGATCGAAGTCCTGTAAGAAACTTTCACCAGCTCTTTCTAGAGCTGGTAGCTGTTTCTTCCATGGGGGGAAAGGGAGGAATTCTTTGAGTCTCTTATAAAGGACTGAAACCAGGCCAGCAGCACCACAGGCTGTTAGACGCCCCCCTCACATGCTTTGGCACCATCCCTTCCATCAACAACGGGACCACCGATGCTGCCCGGATGCAGAATGGCCCTGGACCTCCACCTGTGTGCACGAGAAGGTGCAGCTGTCAACTCCTCACCTGGAGGGGGCGGGGGCGAGACCAGGCTGTGACACTACTGTTCTTTCCAGGCACACATCACCTTCAAGCCCACGGTAGCACAACAAAGAAAATGTTCCAACTGCTCTGAGACTGCGGTAGATGGTGAGCTCGTGGTGATGTATGATGTGAACAGAGAGGAGAAAGTCGGTGAGCTTCAGGTGGGTGAAAACAGACTCTGGGAGAATGGCCCCGCCAAAGCCAAAGAACTGGTTTTTGTTGAATAACCCCCCCTTCCCCCCCACCCACGAATAAACCTCTTTGGCCTCTGGGTAGTTCCCAGCTGCCCAGACGAGTGTCAAGGCTGCAGACAAGGGACTAAAAGCATATTTCTCTAAGTGTCGCCGAGCATTTTATGTCAAGATAACTGAATAAAGGTCATTGGGTCTCATGCCTTTGTCCCAGGAAGGTACGTCTAGGCCTCGAATGAAGAACCATAGGAAGTCACAAAATGGGAATTTTCGATAACCTTCCAAGGCCCTTTGCAATGAGATGATCAAAGAAAGCACAGAGATTATGTTCCCTGTGAGATTTCTTGAGCATTTCCCTTCCCTCTTTTGTCACATCTTAGAGGTGTGTGCATATTTCCCTGTGCTAAAGTAATGAGGCCTTAGTAGCCAAGAGCCTGTGCTTCTCTCCAGGGATGTGGGGGTGTCGGGAAGTGTCCACAGCTACACACCTGACAGCTGGACACTGTAATGTCCTGGGGGAAGCAACCAAAGGGCAGTGGAAAGAGAATGAGGTGAGCCAGTCTTTAGCACCTACAAGAGAAGACGGGGGGGGGGGGGGGTCAGGAATCCAGCCCCTCCCATTAACTTCTAGAACAACCCAGACTCCCCAGGGTGCACATCAAGGTCCTTCATGGTCTGCCCGGTGGGCTCTCTGCCCTAAATCCTTGAATTCATCGTGCTGAACCACTTATGGAGCCCTAAGTGTGCCAAGGGCCACACTGTCTGGAAGTCTCTTCCCCGGCCTGGCCCCCACCCCCCAGCTCAGTCCAACCCCGACGCTGGCAGCCTAACTGCAAACTCATGAACCCACGTTCAAGTCCAGCGTAGATGCCCTTTCCCTGGGGAAGACGCCCTTATCTGACTTAGATGCACCGCCACTGGGGGTGTTCTTGGAGCCTTTTATTTTTCCTGATCACGGACTTAACAACCTGTGCTGCAAATTGCCTCTTTATTTGTCTGGGTCCTTCATCGCCCGCGAGCCTCAGGAGAGCAGGGACTCTTCCTGATTCACTGTTGGTGAGCAGGGTGCCTGGGACGGAGGCTCTCGATGAAGACTGGGTGGGGTGGAAGGAGTGGAGGGAAATAGCCTAGGAGGTGAACTGCTGAGAAGGCTCAGACCTTCGCAGGGAAGGACAGAGTGGGAGCAGGAAGGAGAAAGGAGAAGCAGGGGGACACCAAGCCTCTGTTCTCTCCTGTCCCCTGTGAGCACCCCTCTCCTCTCTCAGTCCCCAGACCCTCGTCTTCCTACATTCCAAACATTGCTAATGGTTTGGCTCACAAATGTGTTCTGGTTTCCCAGGTATTTAATGGATATTTTGTCCACTTCTTTGCTCCTGAGAACATGGACCCAATTCCCAAAAACATCCTCTTTGTCATCGACGTTAGTGGCTCAATGTGGGGAATAAAAATGAAACAGGTAAGTACCCCTGGTGGGCAGTGGTACCTGGGGCTCCCTACCTTTTCTGATCCTCTCCTGATGATGCAATTGTTCAAGTCCCCTTCCCACAGGGCTTGTCTCAGCTCAGGCTGCTAACAAAGTCACACAGACTGGATGGCTTCTGAACAGCAGAAATTTATTAAAAACTCACCTTTTTGAAAACTTTTGTGTCAGTATAACCTCTTCTCACTCTGCTCACTCTTCTGCTTCATATTCCTTTGGTTCTTCTGCATATAACACTTTAATACCTTGCCATTGTTCATGAATAACTTTGACATCACTATATGCATTTCTTTTCTAATTATGCTGTAGTTCCTTGAGGGTGGCCATCCTGTCTCACATCTTCCAGTTCAGAGTTCAACATAGGCTTATTCAGTGTTAATGGTATAGATGCAATTATAAACAAACAAGGAAATTTCTTATTTTATTCATCAATCTATCCATTCAGCCAATTTGAACCACCAACTAACTATTCATTCATTCAACAACCATTTCTGACCACCCAAGTGTTCACTACTGTTCTAGGATCCAAAAGACAGAAAAGACATGGCCCTGCCCACTGTGCTTCTACCCCGGTACCCAGGTCTCAACAGTGGTGTTTTTGACAGTTTGGGCTGGCTGATCCTTTGTTGTGGGGACCACGCTATATGTTGTAGGATGTTTAGCAGCATCCCTGGCCGCTATCCACTAGATGCCAGTGGCACCCACCCTTCCAGTCATGACAATCCAAAATGTCTTCAGACATTGTCAAATATCCCCTGGGGAGAAAATTACCCTCAGTTGAGAACCACTGCTCTAATACAAGAGTTTTTTCACCCCTCCCTCCCTCCCTCCCTTCCTTCCTTCCTTCCCTCATTTAACAAGTATTTATTAAGCACCCACTATGTGTCGGGCACTTAGTTCATCACCGAAGTCTGAGATGACTATTACACACCCAAGCGAACATGTTAAGCAGGCTGTTGGCTCTACAGATCTGGTGCTCAGAGGTGAGATATTAAGATAGGCACTTTGGAGCCACCAGTATGTAGAAGGTATTCACAGCCATGAGACCAGGTGAGAACGCCAAGGAGTAAGTGTAGATAAGAGAAGAAAACCAAGAGTCAAACTTACACTATTCCAATAATTAGAATAATCTGGGGAGAAGGCGAGGAACCAGCAAAGAAGACTAAGAAAAAGTAGCCAACGAAAGAAGAAGAAAACCAAGAGTGTCCAAGGCTCTGGAAGAAGATGAGGAAGTTATATCAGGAGAGAGATGTGACCAGTTGGTCCAAATGCTGCTCAGATTGAGTCTGATAAGATGAGAATAGTCCACCAGATTTCACAGCAACCTTGACGAGCGACGTTTCAGTGGAGGGATGATGGTGAAAACCTGAATGGAATGTATTTCAGAAGAAGATTTGGAGACAGTATGTTTAGACAGTTCTTTCAAGGAATTTTATTGCAAAGGGAAGCTGAGGAATGGGGCAAGTGGGTACATTATGAGGTTTTTTAAGGAATGAGAAATGATAGCATGTTACTCTGTTTATGGAAATGTACCAACAGAGGGAAATTCAAGATGCAGGAGAGGCAAATGGCAGTTGCTAGAGCCATGTCCTTCAGTAGACGAGAGAGAATGCCATCTAGGTCACATGTGGATGGATTTGCATTAGGCGGAAATACAACTACCGGTTCTTCTACATTATCAGGCAGGAAGGAAAAGTTTATGGGTACAAGTACTGGCAGGTGGGATTTTATGGTGGTGGGAATTGTGGGAGTTTTCTTCTGATTGCTTGCATTTCTCAGTGAAGTAGGAATCCAGGTCATCAGCTGAGACAGGAGAGGGGGGTGTTGGTGGTTTGAAGGGGAAGGAGACAGGAAGCAATAATTACGTGGTAGTGGATGAGAAGGCTGAGTAGATGCACTTGAGAAATACATTTGATTCTCAGACACCACAAAGGGGCCACCTGAGGCTCATAATCCTCAACTTAAAGTCAAGCTAGTGAGACTGGTCACGCATGACAAAATAAGACAGTAAAAGTTTAAGTATCAAAATACAATACATGTTCAGAATACAGGAGAGGTAGATCTGTGTTGACTCAAGTGGATTTATATGGTTTTCCGGAAAAATTACAGCTTGAGCCACTACTTGAAAGATGACTAGGATGAATTCTTGGTCTTCCTCATTTCATCTTAGGCTTAGAGCTTATGTATTAAGACCCTTCTCTATTCTCTCTCAAAACAGACAGTGGAAGCGATGAAGACCATATTGGATGATCTACGCACTGAAGACCATTTCTCCATGGTTGATTTCAACCACAATGTTCGAACCTGGAGAAACGATTTAGTCTCAGCTACTAAAACACAGATTGCAGATGCCAAGAATTACATTCACAAAATCCAGCCCAGTGGAGGTAAATAGGTTTAGCCCACAGCCCAGTGAGAAACTCCCATAGGATTCAAATCTTGGTTCACTTAAGAAATATGATTCCCTACCTCAGTGGTCTTTGCCCAGTCTGCAGTGGTCTGCTTTAAATAATACATTTATTATTAAACAATGAATACTATGGTCATGGTGAAAGCATAATCCATACCCCATCCCACACACGTTTTTAACCATTCCATCCTCAGAAAAGGGTGTCAGTAAGTGATACTAGCCTTCTTATGACTTGCATAGCAAGAGGAAGACAAATACCATATAATATCACTAAGATATGACACAAATGAACTTATCTATGAAACAGAAACAGACTCACAGACATAGAGAACAAGCTTGTGGTTACCAAGGGTGACAGGGACATGGGGGAGAGATGGACTGGGAGTTTGGGATTAGCAGATGCAAACTAGTATATACAGGATGGATAAACAACAAGGTCCTACTGTATAGCACAGGGAACTATATTCAATATCCTGAGATAAACCATCATGGAAAAGAATCTGAAAAAGGAACGTATATATATGTATAACTGAATCACTTTGCTGTAAAGCAGAAATTAACACAACATTGTAAATCAACTAAACTTCAATTTAAAAAAAAAGAAAAAAATCACATATCATAACACATAATTGTTTACAGGACAGTGTCCAAGTATGTCAGCAAGGCTGAATTAGGTAACTTCAGTTTGGTGGTTAACAAAATGACTGGTGCTTTGAAAGGGTTAATTCATCTCTAAGGGAACCATTGACTACAAAGTGAATATTTTATTCCACTGGGGGATCTGGACCAGCCTGGTCAAAATTTAGAAAGCAATCGAATGATTTGGGTACTGAATAAACTATACATGAGTCATCACCAAACAGATGAACCTGAACCCAAGACGTGATTGTTTCTGTGGAAAGTAAGAGTATGTAACAGAACAGCACATTCTACGGCTTTCACAGGGACGAATATCAACGAAGCACTGCTGCGGGCCATCTTTATTTTGAATGAAGCCAATAACTTGGGACTGTTGGACCCCAACGCGGTCTCGCTGATCATTTTGGTGTCTGACGGCGATCCGACAGTAGGCGAGTATCATTTACATTTTTAGTGATAAATATCTTTACTCTTGTTGCTTGGGAGCGTGATTTGCTCAAAATGGGAACTCAAATGCATTTGCCTGAGTGTCTAAGCCATTTTAAAGCCGTGCTTCCTGAAAGAAGGGTTCTTTTGACCCTGAAGCATTCACTCCACTTAAAGCAGTCCCCGGACGTTTGGGGGGAGGACGCTCTTGAATGCCTCAGTTTCACCTCCACAGCGTGGGGAAACTTGAATTTGAGTCACACGCTGTGAGGGTTGCTGGTACATACTAGTGCAGTGTGTTTATTTCCTCAGCGTAAGGTGTGCGAGGTGGTGTGTGGAGCGTGTGTGATGAGGATGTAGCCTCTGAGTCTGCAGTGACCTGTTCTCCCACTGTTCTCCAAATTTCCCCCATGTACTCACTGCACCTGGACAGGTTACTTCTCTCTGATGCATCCTGTGTGTTTTCTTATCCACACAACGGCTCGCCGTCTCCCTGCTTCTATTACATACACTGTTATTTTCATTTGCTTCATTTGCGTCTTTACGCGGACAAGCACCAGTGAGAGTGAATGCTAGATTGCGCTGCAGTCCGTCTTGTAGACAAGGATGTACTTAACTGCGCCTGACACAGCTCAGTGGAAGGAGAACCAGTGATGCGATCCTGACAAGGTACCAGAGTTCTAGAAAGAGGGAGAGCGAGGCAGAATGGCAGTTGTTGTGTATTTGTTGTAGATTCAGTGCTTGGATCGGATGACTTTTAAAATTCAATTTTAGAATAAAATCTTAAGGAAATAAGCTTAAAAAATTGTCAGTTTCTTACTCCTGACCCTCAACCATCCAGTTCCTGTCCCGGGAGACAGTCACTGGTTACCAGTTTCTTGTGTGTCTTTCCAGAGATATTCTATGTGTATCTGTATACTGTATATACATATACACACAAATATGTGAATATATATACACATACATACATACATGTATACAAATGCATTCTGCATACGCTGACCTTCACCTTGTTTTTCTCCCCTTTAAAAATGTGCCTTTGAGATCATTCAATATAAACACATAAAGAGTTGCCATGTTCTTTCTTATAACTGCATAGTATTTCAGTTTGAATATACCATAATTTAACCCATCTCCTTTATCGGTGTACATTTAAGTTGTTTCTAATGTGTTGCTATTCCCAATAACGTTGCTATATACCACTGTCCGTCCTTCATTTAAACATGTATGAGGGCATCTCTAGGGGACATTTCTAGAAGTTGAGTGACGGAGTCAAAGCATAGGTGCATTTTGAATTGGGACAAATTTTGCTAAACTGCCCTCCATGCGTTTTCCTAAATCTTGATAGCATTGGCTTCTCACTCCTTTCCTTCCTGTCATCATCCTTAGGGGAATTGAAATTGTCAAAAATTCAGAAAAACGTGAAGCAGAACATACGAGAAAACATCTCCTTGTTCAGTTTGGGGATAGGATTTGATGTTGACTATGATTTTTTGAAGAGACTCTCCAACGAAAACCGTGGGATTGCGCAAAGGATTTATGGAAACCAGGACACTTCTGCCCAGCTCAAGGTAACTTTTTTTTCTGTTCTTTTTCACTTAAAATCATTCAACTAGCAATATCTGATGCCTAAGATGGCTGAATTTAAGTAAAAATTGTCATTATGTCAGTTATATTAGGTCACAAGAATCAGGGAAGTGTTCTATTCCTTTCTCATGCACCCCACCCCCACTTGTACACCTGCAGTAACAGTGAGATGAGAGGCGGTAAGGTGATGGATACAAAGTTCCCTACTCCCTGAACAGGTCTTGAGGGACACCATCACAGCTTCTTGTGTCTCTCCAGTCCCGCTAAGACATCGGTCCTCCTAATCGTCATGGGCACTCTTCTCCCTTTAAAGTACATTGGCATCTTGGAAATCAACTTCTATAATGCAACACAAGTCAAACTATAGCCTGTACATTTCCTTAAATATAAAGGATATCAATTACTTGTTTATTTTGACTAAATGGACAAGAAAAAATGAAGGAGAAGAAGAATATACTTTACTCCACCCTCTGTCAGTACCATAGCAGGCACCATATTTAAACCTGGGGACAGGTAAGAGACAGGTTCTAATTTGGGGATATCCACCCAGCTGACTTATTATGAGAGTCCATGAGCTTTTCATGCTCGTCATAACAGAAAGAAAATATGCTGGGCTCTTAAATCAAGAGTAATATTCTTAACAAAGTCTTGATCGGTCTCTGTTTCAGTTCATTGAATAACTAAGAGAATTTTCCATAGCTTTCCACAGAGATCCTGGGAGAATAAATTGAGCGATGTCTGCTAAGCACTTGAAGAATCTCAGAGAAAAATGCTTTAGATCTATAAAGTGATATGAAAATAATGATTTCTCTGTTTTTTTCTATGAATTGTAGAAATTCTACAACCAGGTCTCGACTCCCTTGCTCCGGAATGTTCAGTTCAACTATCCCCAAACACCAGTAACAGATGTCACTCAAAACAGTTTCCATAACTATTTTGGAGGCTCAGAGATCGTGGTGGCAGGAAAAGTTGACCCTGATAAATTGGAGCAGTTACAGGGTATTATCACTGCAACTTCGGTACTTCTACTTATCTGCTTATTCTAAAAATACTAATTGTCCCCTTAGTATACGAGAGACATCTTGTATATTAACAGGCTGATACTCTGAATTCCAAGAATCATGTGGGTATAATAAAAGCAAAAAGCGAAAGGGAAAGCCTGAGAATATCTGTGCCACCTTCCCAACTATTGTGTAAATCCTGACCTTTTCCATCCCAAACTCTAGAGGTTGGCGCTTACTTCCTCTCGTGTATTCTTTTGGGTTATTTTGCATTCCCCTTCCAGTTGCCTGCTACCCTGATTCACTCACAGTAGATCCTTTGGAAAATGTGAATTGATTAACTACAATTCTGCCCCACTGGTGTCTTTCAACTGAACCTTCCACTGTCCAGGCTAATGCAGAGTTAGTCTTGGAAACCCTGGCCGAGATGGATGGCTTGGAGGATTTTCTATCCAAAGACAAGCATGCAGATCCTGATTTCACCAAGAAATTGTGGGCCTATCTGACTATCAACCAACTTCTGGCTGAACGGTAAGAAGACCGTACACCACAGGGATTTGCAAAAGCAAAAGACTTGCCTTGGATACTTGACATAATAGACAAAAAAAAGAGTTTGGAACCAAGAAAGGCAGCAAATTATTACAGGGTTTGGAGTTATCATTTCCACTGGTTTCAGGCAGTTTTAACTCAAGCTGGGTTCACTCTTTTTTCTTTTTTCTTGACATATAACATGCATACAATAAAGCATGTGAAGTGCATTCATTTTAAATGTACAGTTTAATGAATTTTTATGCACATCACCCACGTAATCAGCACCCGATCCAGACACGGAACAGTTCTTCCATTTCTGAAGTCTCCTTCATTCTCCTTTCCACTCAACACCCACCTCCCACCTCGAGTAGAAATCACTATTTTGACATCTGTCACTATCAATTAGTTTTGTCTATGATGAAATTTCATATAATGATACAAACTGTATTTTTTGTTTCTGGCTTCTTTCACTCAATGTGACGCCCATGAGATTCATCCATCTCATTGCTATGGGTATGAGGAATTCATTTGCATTTACTCCTGAAAATAGATTATTGTCCAAAGAGAAATTTATGATTATGCAATTCTGATATCATGTAAGTAAGGGCTTCCTATAGGTACCTATTTCATCTCTGGCTTCTCAGCTGACTGGTATTTAAATGCTCCAATATAAAAACTATATTTCTAGAGTAATGTATGGTTCTTTGATCACGTGTATCAGAATTACAGGGGGGTGTTTGGATAAGAAAATTACTGTTCCCCAGCCCGCCTCCACCTATTCGATCAGATTCTTAGGAAGAGGGAGCAGGGTGGTGTGAACGGGGCTGGAAAAAACGAAATACAGCTGTATAACTGTGCTCAGAGAGAAAATCCTTAATGTCAGTAAGATTCTAAAACAGACACAAGTTTGTAAGCTGTGGCTTTAAAGTAAGTGAGAACTGTCCCTGCATCTTTACAGAGGCAACTGGGTGCATGTAAAGGTACATAGCAAATTGCTGCAGACGTTAAATATTGATTTTTAAAAAACAATCCCTGTAAAGTGGGTCAGTGGTTGCCAGGGAGCAGTGGGTGGAAAGGATGAACAGGCAGAGCACAGGGGATGTTTTAGGGAGGTGAAACTACCCTGTATGACACTATAATGACGGATACCTGTCATTATACATTTGTCCAAACCCATAGCATGTACAACAAAAAAGTGAACCCTGGGTGATGATGACGTGTAGATGTAGATGTATCGATTGTAACAGATGTACCACTTGTAGTGGGAGACGTTGATAATGGGGGAGGTTGTCGGGTGGGGAAGGGGCAGGGAGTATACGGAAAAGCTCTACTTTCTGCTCAGTTTTGCTGTGAACCTAAAACTGCTCTCAAAAATAACTTATTTAGACTTGTTTCCAAGGGGGAGGGGGTCGGGGGAGGGGTGGAGTGGGAGGTTGGGGTGAGCAGATGTAAGCTATTACATCTGCAAAACAACAAGGTCCTATTGTATAGCACAGGGAACTATATTCAGTATCCTGGGATAAACCATAATGGAAAAGAATATGAAAAAGAATGTATATATATATACATGACTGAAGCACTTTGCTGTACAGCAGTAATTAACACAGAGAACACTGTAAATCAACTATACTTCAGTTAAGAAAAATAATAATCTGTTTAAAAATTCCTTAGGACTGCATGGATAGACAAAATACTAAGCTTCATGAAGCCAGTTAATTCTGTTTTACCTCATGGTCCCCAGGGTCCCAGTTGGACCCAGAAGTGGTAGAGTTAAATCTAGTGATGCTGTCCAACGTCTCTGTTTCCTGAGTACAGGAGCCTGGCTCCTACAGCTGCTGTGAAAAGGAAAATTACAAAAACAATCCTGCAGATGTCTCTGGATCACCATATAGTGACCCCCCTCACATCCTTGGTGATTGAGAGTGATGCCGGGGATGAACGCATGCTGGCAGACTCCCCTCCACAAGACCATTCTTGTTGTTCAGGTGAGTCTGCCTACCTGGTGGAGAAATTTTTCATAAGATGTTACGGAAAAACCCAAACGAACTTTTTGGCCAACCCAATATTTTTTTATAAGCCTAAGTCCTGATAAGCCTTGTTGACATAGATAAAAGTAAACAGGAATGGAAAGAACTTGGTTACAGCAGTGGCAGTCACTTATCTGAACTTCTTTGAAGTCATATACAAAACTCAAGTAGAATCTAGTACTCAAAAAAGTATTTTTAATGGTCTATCAGATGACATGTCAGGCCCTTCTCCAATCCTGTTGAAAGCAAAGAATTGAAAACTGTCTCACTTACAAATAGATTTGTTTCCTAGACATTGGAGTTATTCCATTTTGGGGCACTACACCGATTTTCAAATGGACTCTTAATTCCTGGGAGGTTTTTGGTGAGGCAGGCAGGAAAAAGGTGTGCCTTCCATTTCTAAACTAGGAGAAAGGGTTTTCTTGGGAAAAATATATATGGAAGCTAAGAAGCTCAAAATTGCCGTAAAAGCTATCCACGATCTCTGTGTTTCGTGGAATGTCCCAAGGTACACCCAAGGGCACGGGTGCCCACATTTAGAAGAGCTTGGTTTACTCATCTCTTCCTTCCTCCCTTTCTTAGGGACTGGTCCTGTTATAACAATCTTGAGAATGACCAGCATTCACTGGAGGGATCGTTTTCTGCATTTTTAATTCTGTCCAAGTGAGATGCCAACTTTATGACAGTGGTCCAGGCTTCAGGAAACTCTTACTTCTGACTTCCAGTTACAATAGCCTGGAGCCTCACAGCTAAATTTATGCAGGGAGAAACTCACGCTAGATGACCTGACATTTATAGGTGATTTTATATCCCCTGAATAAAATGCCTAGGTGAACTGGCATTTTTTTCTCAGAGACAAGGAGCTGACTGCATATCAGAAAGCCAAATGAATTTTTTTTTTTTTTTTGCGGTACGCGGGCCTCTCACTGTTGTGGCCTGTCCCGTTGCGGAGCACAGGCTCCGGACGCGCAGGCTCAGTGGCCATGGCTCACGGGCCCAGCCGCTCCGCGGCATGTGGGATCTTCCCAGACCGGGGCACAAACCCGTATCCCCTGCATCGGCAGGCGGACTCTCAACCACTGCGCCACCAGGGAAGCCCCCAAATGAATTTTTTGCAACCAGTAGGGGGTATTGGTTGGTTGGGAAACTAAATCGTTCAGATTGATTGTTTTCTTTTCTTTTCTTTTTTATTGAAGTATAGTTGATTTACAATATGGTGTTAGTTTCAGGTGTACAGCAAAATGATTCCATTTTATATATATATGTATTTTCAGATTATTTTCCATTATAGGTTATTATAAGATATTGAATATCGTGTTATACAGTAAATCCTTATTGCTTTCTGATTGTCATTTGGTGAGTAGATAGGAATAGATCCGAGAAGATGCCGTCCAGAGTCTGGCTGGACCTCATCTCCCCAGTTTATGGTGAAGGCACAAGGTCCTTCCCCAAACTCCGAGGGCTGGTTCCTTCTACTACAGACCCTAGCCCAGGACCCAGACTCTGCAGAGAAGCCTACAGCAGGCCCTCACAGCATGATGAAAGAAGGAGCTGGAAGATAGAGAACTCAGGAATAAAAATAATGGGAGAAAACCTTAGCTGAAAACCTCTGGGGTCTGTCTGCATAAAACAGATTCTTGATATTGTAAGCAATGTCCATGGAAAAGTAAACCTGGAAACTAATGGATACAGTTTTTTCTGTGCAGGTGCCCTGTATTATGGCAACAGAGTTGCTCCAAATTCATTCCCACCTTGGGTGAACCCTTCACCGACACCAATGGTCCCAATGCCCGCGGTTGGTGCTCCAGTGCTTGAGACAACGCCTCCTCCACACGTGATGAGAGGTAAGGGAACTTCCACAATGCTTCCACATCCCAGATCTCAATTGGACCATAATGCCATGGAGCATTGGTATACGTTTAAAAAATCCTGGTAAAGCTGGAAGCCTTCTATAGGCATCGTTGCCTTCCATGGAAAGAAGATGGCCCCATGTATTAGTCAGGAGCCACCTGACAAAATACCATAGACTGGGTGGTTTAAGCAACAGAAGTTTATTTCTCCCAGTTCTGGAGGCTGGGAAGTCCAAGGTCAAGGTGCCAGCAAGGTACATTTCATCTTCTTCGTTTGTAGGGAGCACCTGTCTTCCTGTGTGTTCACATGGCCCCTTTGTGTATGCACTGGAGAGAGAGAGACAGGGCAGGCTCTCCAGTGCCTCTTTTATAAGGGCACAAATCCCATCATAAGGGTCCCACCCTCATGACCTTGTCTAACCTTCATCAGCTCCCAAGGCCCCACCTCTAAACACCATCATGTTGGTGGTTACAGCTTCAACATATGAATTGGGGGGGGACAACACATTCCATAGCACCCCATTTCCAACTGTACAAGGCAAACCCTCTGGGATGGAAGAGATGCACCTCTCGTGTGGGGAGGGCCAATGTGTATCAATGGAAAGGACATCTTCTTTGGAGATTGTTCATGACACTCATTTGAACTTAAGTTACTTAACATTTCTGCACTTCACTTCCTTCATTTTGAAAACAGGCATCATGATACTTGCGTAGCTGTAAGTACGTATCATGATGTAAGCTACTTACACAGCTGTCGATTAAATGTGTAACCATCTTTAAAGAGCTGGCATGTTATAGTCACTCAATAAATAGGTGTTTTGTTTGTTTTTGGCCACACCATGCAGCATGTGGGATCTTAGTTCCCCCGACCAGGGATCAGACCTGTGCCCCCTCCAGTGAAATCACAGAGTCTTAACCACTGGGCCACCAGGAAAGTCCCTAAATAGGTGTTATTATCAATTTTATAATCAAAAATACTTGAATGTTGTTTCCTATATAACTGCATTATCATACATTATTTTGTGAGGTTGTTTGTTAATTTGCTTACTTGATTTTAATCAACAGCATATTTGAAAATCCTAGTTTTGCTCAGCATTTAAAAATCTTTCTACCAGTGGTTTCAGTGGCAGGCATGGGTAGCAGATGCAATCGTGTGAAAGCCAGGAAAACGAATTTCCTCGCAAGGGTCCTGGCAGCTGCAGCTGGCTTCCTTGTGCAGATTCTTTCTTTGCCTTCTGGTCGTCAACCTCTGCAGGGTCTTATTTCTCAACCAGAGAGAGGGGCTGCCTGGGGGAAATAGGAAACTATCTTCTCTCCTGTTCCTGGTCTGCACTATGCCTTTCAGTGAAAGGGATTTCCACTGCCTACCCATTGGCTGGTCCCATGTAGAAACCTTGTGTCCCTTTTCTGCCTTTTACTTAGGAGTAAATTTCAACATTCAAAGAAGGAGCACATCCCTCTCCCTCTTGGAAGGTCCAAAGTACCAGCTTAACTCGGGTGGTTTGCAGTTTAAATATCAGAGTAGCTTCTGGTGTAGCTTCTTAGAAATGTGCTGCTTTTCTAGTCTGCTTGGAATGTAAGACTCTTCTATCCAGAAATCCTCAGAACTGATTTCTCAGGACTGTACACCTACCACTCACCTGACATAGAATTATAACAGAGAGAACACAGCGAGGACTTTGGGTATTTATGATATCTTTAAATATCTTTAATAAGTATCTTGATAGAGATATTTTAAAACATCCCACCTCTACGACTTAGCTCTGAAATTGTTATTTGGGGGCCCAAAGTGATCTTCTTCTTCACGCTTTCATTGGTGGTGATGCTTCAGACAGAGGACCCTCCACTCCCCTCCCACATCATCTCCAACTATGGAGCTTTGGTGAAGGGCTCTGCATGTGACTCTCAGAAGTGACAGCCTCGTAAAGTGGCACATGAGGAGGGAATCTATATGTCCAAGGTTGCTGTGCTTGCACAACAGCCATTTTACTATGTGTTTCCAACGAGTGGCTTCTGAGAGCAAGATCTGATTGCCGTGACAAGTTCATGAGTCACTTAAACTGTTCCTTTGCAAAATAAAACTTTCATAGAAACATGTAGAGCCCGAGCCAATTTCTTTTGAAGTGTTCTTCTGTAAGAATGCAGTGCTTGCTCCGAGTTTCTTGTCTCTGCTGTATGAGGCAACCAAAAAGGACAAGGTCTTGAGAATCAGACAGTTCTGGGGTCAAACTCTGCCCCCATGACCTTGGCCTGGACACTGAAACATCTATAGGTCTCAGCCCACCTTCAAAATGGGGATGATAATAACCTGCAAGGTGGTTCTAAAGTAGGTTCCTGGTTCCTAGGAGAAGCTCGGTAAATGCTGGCTAGTCTTACACCCGTTAACCCCAGGTCCTCAATCTCCCTCCAACCTGATCAGAATGGAAGGCTGCACAGACTAACTTCAGTATGATCTTTTGTTTCTGGTAGACGTCTATCCACTCATTACGGCAGTACTGATTTGCTGCTGCTCACCAAAAGGTCTCATGGATGGGATTTAGGTTCATCAAAATGGCAAAACCCATCATTATCTTTAATAAAAGCAATTTCCTTCAAGCCAAGTTATCTCAAAACACCCTATTTGTGTAGAGGAAAGAAGAGGCTATCATAATAAGATGATTTTTTTGATGAAAAAAACAAAGAGCTGGGAACCTTTGTTGAGTGTTTTAATGATGCCCTCTCATGCCCAGCTCCTACACTAAATCAATTAACCAAGTATTTATTGACTACAGAGCATGACCTTGGTGGTGTGAGGGGTGCAAAGAAGTACAAGATTTTGTTCCAGTTCTGGATGAGTTTATCCTCCATTTCAAGTTCCCAAACACACACTTGAAGGAGCATATCAGGATGGTTGGGAGAATGGGCATGTAATCAAACGGCGTGGCTTTGCGTCATAACTCTGCCACTTATTAACGCTGTGATGTGACCTCGGGCAGGTCACCTGTCCTCTGCAGGACTGCGGTGAGAATTAGTTAATATTTGCAAAGAGCTTTGTGATAGCATCTAGAAAACAGCAACCTCTCAGACATTTGTTAAAGCACAGTAAGGAACAATTTATTCATGATGGGTGTAGGGACCACTGCATTGGGGTATTGCAGTGCAGGAGGGAGATTAGACTCAACTCTGAACACACCATGGGAAAGTGGGAATTTACAGACAAAAACCAGGCTGAGGTCAGTAAACGGAATATTACTAACAGGAAACATCAGTGGAAAGGGGGGGTTCTGGTTAAACTAACCTAACAGGATTCTTGCTGAAGGCAGGCCAGGTAATCAGACCTCACTTGAGGTTGGTGGGGGGAGGAGGGACCTGAAGAGATATCAAGGGTGATCAGATTTGGAGGGTGGGGGATTCTAGCTAAACCTACTTAGTAGGATTTTTGCTAAAATTAGACAATGCCGAGAGGAACATGGAAGTCCAAAAGTTGAGGTCAAACTTGAAGAGTTCAGGGAAGCCTGAGAAGAGTTAGTCCCAGGAGAGAGTCTTTGTCACTCCTTCATTAAATTGTTTCTCTCTTGAAGGTAAAGACCATGACTTATTTATAGCTACACCAAGCGTCGCATAATTCAGAGTTTTGCACATGGTTTGGTTTTTTTCTGACCAAATATTTGTTGAATGGGTAAACAAACAAACAAAAAAGATCAGCCAGAATAATGGTGTCTAGTAACAAAGGAGTACTTTCTTGGGAATAGCTTGATCCTTCATTGCTCTTGGAATTGATCAATATTAATCTGTATGCCAAAAGGTAATATTATGTCTTTTTTATTTTTATGCACTGTGTATGACTACTTAAAAATACAGGTATTTTACCTATCTATACACACAGTCACTGTATATACACATATGTAGTGCATTTGTAGTATATATTATACATATAGTGTGTATGCTTGTATTTCTTATTCCTAATGTCTTTCTTATTCATTTTTTTCTCTCTAGCCTAGAATATATGTGATAGCTACAAAACGAGTATACATTATATTTGTAAGATAACCTAGAACTCTGAGGGCAGCTCCATGAGGAAGGGACAGCGCTTGGACCACTGGGTCCCTGGTGCCTAGAACAGTACCTAGCATATAGCAGGAGCACAATAAACATTTGTTGTTGTGAAATTAAAGATGTTCAGGAATAAAATACTGTTCAAATTAATCTTCCTTTCTATGATTTTGTTTGTTTTCATTTTCATTGTATATTTTCCAGTTGAAAATGACCCACACTTCGTCATCTACCTACCAAAAAGCCAAAAGAATATTTGTTTCAATATTGACTCAGAACCTGGAAAAATCCTCAACCTTGTTTCTGATCCAGAATTAGGTAAAATAAAAAGATATTATATTAGAATTAGACTACTAGATCATGGTCATTCTTCACTGTCACTACCTGGGATTGCTTTCTTTCCTACCTTAATAAAATCTTATATATATATATATATTTCAAACTACTCTTTTCAAACTCTGATAGCGAGAAATGAATTATAAATATATTCCTAACTATTTGAACTATTCTAGATAAAATACTCTGAGTATGAACTAGCAGAACTTGTGATATGATTAATTTAAACCATAATAAAATAGTTATAAAATGAGAATTATAGAGGAAAAAAATATTATGTAAATCCTGAAGCTAAATAAAAAAATAATTTTCCCATTCTGTCAAGTTTTATAAATTTGAATTATGGTGCCCACATGTGCAAAAAAAAAGAAAGAAAGAAAGAAAGAAAGAAAAAGAGCGCACAAGAGAGAAAAAACCATTTTTTTTCCTTGCAGGGATTTTGGTCAATGGACAGCTCATCGGTGCCAAGAAGCCCAAGAATGAAAAACTAAGCACCTATTTTGGGAAACTGGGATTTTATTTCCAACGTGAGGACATGAAAATAGAAATCAGCACCGAGACCATCTCCCTGAGCGGGGGCTCTCGAACATCTGTCTTGTCCTGGTCCGACACGGCCCACGTCCTTAACCAGAGGCAAGTACAGTTACATCCGAATTAGGGCGTATCCTTGACACGTGACTACGTCAACAAATCCAGACATGCGTGACACAAACATAAAACTCAAAATCGTCATTTTAAATGTCAAGAAGTCAAGGTTCAGAAAAAATTTTGTTACTTCCTGCCCTGCTCCTGGCAGTAGAGTCTATGTGTTTTGGTCACAGTGTGTCTCAGTGCTAGCCTGGCGCCTGGCATACAGTAAGCACTCAATAAGTACATGTTGGACGTGTGAATGAATCCATCAACTGAAATCCAGCCCAGTGTGTCAGAGTGCTCAGAAACACTATGATTTTGTCCTACGAGTAATATCTTCCCATTAGTATCTGTTCATTGTTGATACAGAAACGTATACATTGACAGAATTTCAGCGCTGGGAGATAAATCAACGTTCTGTGGCCAAAATGTCGTAAAGCTCTTAAAAAACTGGGGGGATTGTGCGGGGCAGAGTGAAGTCATATTAGGGGTGGGAGAGGAATGACATTCTAAAACGAGTCCGTTCCGGAATCGTTAACTCCTTTTTGACTTCCCACCAGGGTGCTTGTCTCGGTGAAGAAAGAGAAAACTGTGACTATCACCCTGGATAAAGAGATGTCCTTCTCTGTTTTACTTCATCGCGTTTGGAAGAAGCATCCGATCAATGTCGACTTTTTGGGGATCTACATCCCCCCCACAAACAAGTTTTCTCTTAATGTACACGGGTTGATAGGTAAAGTGTCCGTGGACCATCTGGCAGGTGTGGGACTGACCACCCTAGGTCTTGAGCAACTTTGGCTCAAGGTTAGAACATTTGGTTAGAATGTGGGAAAGTGACAGGTATGGACTCAATGGTTCAGGGAGGACCCACACCCTGGTCTTAATTTATGAAGGTGCCTGAGTGACACACAAAGAGGTCAGTGTCATTGACAGAGTGTAACATTTACCGTTGCTCGCGGTTTCCATAGAAACATGAGACACATCTCACCATGCAGGGCCACGGGGAGGCCAGGTTTGGGTCAGGAACCAGAAGCAGGAGCAAGAGATGGGTCCAGGCCAGAGCCTTTACTGGGGTTTCTGTGCAAAGACAGGACAGAGCAGGATAGTTTGGGGTTGGCTAGCTTAATAATTTCAGTGGGCACTGGCCTACAGGGTGGTCTTTCCTTGCCTGGCACATGGCCCTGGAATGAGTCCTTCTGGGGCTCCCAGGCCAGAGAGAGGAGGTCCGGCTCTGGCTTGGTTCGTTTGCAGATCCCCGCCATGCTCCCGGCTGAGTCCTTTGCTCTCTTTCAGAATTGGCTTTCCCAGGGAGGGGCAGTCTCTCCCCAGCCAGACGGAGTTTTTAAGATGTCAAAACATCATAATATACAGAGAATAAAAAACAAGATTCCTACAACCCAACACAGCAGTGCAGGGCGACTCGTAATGCTATAGCTGGGACTATTTGCTGCTCCAGACAAAGTTTCCCAGGGCTGGGATTTCATCACATACTGGGCAAATTAAGAGAAGGGATGGATACACTGTAAGTTTTATGCTGAAGATTTTTTTCTCACTGAAGAGAAGCGAACTGGTTTAGGAAGTCTGTGATAACAAGCAGGGCGTCCAGGTCAACCTTCCCTACTTTTTAAAGAACGGTGGCGATTTAAGCATACTGTATAGTGTCACAAACCAAACGTGTTTCTAGATTTGAGCTGTACTCTCAGGTGCTGACCTTTACCCCCACCATCAGAGTGTTCGATTTTACTTGGGGTCCAGTTGATCAGACTCATATGTCAAATGACATATGAGTGAGCAGCATGGATTTGCCCTCAGGAAGAACCCATCCCCATCTGCATCCTTTTCCTCTCAGTACATCTGTCTACCCCAGAATGTCTAGATGGGGGAACCAAAATGCAGCCTGGATCACATGACCAGCCTGTCCTTTTGTCTTCCCTTGAGTTACATGTAAATAAACGTCTGGACTTTGTTTCATAGGCCAGTTCATGTATGAGCCAAAGATACATATCTTCAATGAGCGACCAGGAAAGGACCCTGAGAAGCCAGAGGCAAACATGGACGTGAAGGGACAAAAGCTGATTGTCACCAGGTATGTCTTGGATGCATATACTACGGGAACAAAAAGGGCTCCTGTTAGGATTGGACTCACGGCCAAATAGAAGAACAAGAAAAGCCATTTCAAGCTTTACCTGTGTCACACTAAACAATTCACCAGGAAGAGACACATACATGGCATTGACGTAAGGACACTGCACGGAGTCCATCCGAAATGCAAAAAACGACCAGGTACATAAGTACGTACCATCAAATGCCAAGATTAATTAATCTACTCTTCTCACCTTCGTACATTAGAAGCCATATGGCCACAAGCTGGATAATTGAAAAAGCAGATCAAAGGAAGAAATCATAAAAATACCTACTCGCCTTAGTGCTGGCGAAAGAATGTGTAGATTTTTACTTAAGCCTAGAGCTTTCTTTCTGAGTACTTATCCACTGAATGCATGTTTGTGTTTGAATCTACTGAATACATCTTGGTGTAGCTTTTCTTACACAAACCGTATCCACATGCTTCATTTTGAAGTGAGAACATAGATACCTGTAAAGCATCCTGAGTTTAAACTTTTTACACGTCTTTTTCATTTTTCCCAGTCTTTACAGTTGTCTCACCCAGGCCTAATTTGGTATCATATTAAAGAATTCGGGGCCTTTTTAGAGTTTTTACAAAGCAGCCAACTTTGCTCAATGAGAAATGACTCTTTTGGCACACGAATGTCATTGGCTTCCATGTACTTCATTAAACCATAAAATTACAACAATTAAGCCACAAAATTACAATAATCATTAAGCCATAAAATTACAACAGTAAAATAAAGTTACCACAGAAATAGATTTGTGAACTGAAACAATGGACTCTCAGCGAGTACACTACTCAACTAGTATGGGTTTACCAGAGATCAGTGAGTTACCACTGGGCGTCAGTAAGCGTGTTTCATAGAAGCAACGCTGAGCACAGTTGATCACAGTAATAACAAGTTATCTGAGGTTGGTAAACACACATCTACTCTATGCTAATGACCAAAGGTAAAGGCTGGGCCCCATTTTCTTCTACTGCCAGCACCTCGTGACGCACAGCGGAAACTTACTCGACCTGTGGGCCACGTGCAAAGATGTATGTTTTAAAGCTCATTAATGGCAATACACCGTATAACTTCTTTACCCTTAAAACGAAAACCATGAATGTCTCAGGAACAGCCGGCGTCGCTCCTAAGTAGAACAGTCACCCCTGCAGTCAAGCTGAGACGCACCTCAGATTCATCCTGCAGGGAACCTGTGAGCTGGAGCTTCATTTCCACCTTCTTTCCATTTGAACGTTATTTCCGCCCCACAGCCTCCCTGCAGTAGCCTCAGCTCCCCAGAGAGCACGATGGCTGGATCCTCTTCCAGCCTCACCAGATAAACACAAGACACCCAGGAAGTTGTGAGTTTCAGATACTTGGGACATACTTCTGCTGAAACATGAGCGGTGTTTATCTGAAATTCAAATTTAACTGGCATCCTGCATTATTTGCTAAATCTGGCAGCTTCTTCCTTGCTCTGGGCTAATTTGGAGACTATACCAACCCTAGGCAACCTTGAGGACATAGGCCCCAGCCAGTTCCCACTGCCCCCTTGTCTCTTTCCCCATGTCCAGAAAGAGGACTGCCTCAATACATGGGCCTCCCCTCCAAGGCAGCAGGGAAAAAATAAAAAAGGAAAGTTAATTTGCACTCTTTACCTTCCTGGAAAAGTCCATATTGGTCAATCTCTAGACAGGTTATTTGAATTTCTAAGGACACACTGCTTATTGTCTGTCTTTCTAAACCAAGTCCCTGACTCTGGTGCTTTGTATGACTTGGGGAAGACTTGGGGAACGGGGATGGGGCACGGGGGTGTTAGCAGATACGGTGCTAGAAGGGGGCAGAAAACAGAGAGGGAGAGTGTGTCTTCTTTCTAGATACACAGGCTGGCCACGCCTGGTCTGTGTCCTAACCACACCCACTGTTCTCCTTGCAGAGGCCTGCAAAAGGACTACCGGACAGACAGAGTGTTTGGGACCAACGTTCCTTGTTGGTTTGTGCACAACAGTGGGAAAGGCTTCATCGACGGACATTACAAGGATTACTTTGTGCCTCAGCTCTACAGCTTTCTCAAATGGCCTTGAAAAGTTTATAGTTGGGGAAATTCTATGTATAAATATACATTTTTTCCCTGCCACCTTTGTAGTCGTTCTTGAGTTTGAATAATTAAAAACTAACCAGATATCATGGTGGTTTATAAAACCTGTTAACACACCTGAAGAAAATACTTTGCAAAGAAGTTTTAGGATGTTGTTACGTTTTCAGATGGGAAGGTTTGTTAATCGAGGTCATGCAGAGGAGGGCTGCATTGGTGAGTCAAGCTGCCGTCCAGACAGAGTCCTGGGTTTGGCATTTGCTGTAAGGACTTCACTGTTTTTAGTGTTAGGTCCTCAACCTTGCAACTGAATACATTATTACGTTGTCAGTTACATGGGAAATTCAATTATGAGGTTATTTGGTGAACTTGGAGTAAGAACAGGGGAAGTCACCTATCTTGTTTTGTAGTTATATATATATATGAATATAAAGCCCTGTCACCCTCTGTAGGGATAACCTTGCCAAGGTACCTATGATGCCCATGATGCTTTGCCAAAATTCCTTCCTTAGTGTTGGCCTCAGAGACCCATTTTAGTCCAAGAAGCCTGTATTAGGATTCTCCTAAGAGAACTAGTAGGATAGCCATATCATATATACACACATATATAAACGTACACACCTATACAGTTGGCCCTTGAACAATGTGGGGCTTAGGGCTGCCAAAATCCCACACAGTCGAAAATCAACAAACTTTTATCTCTGTCTCAAAGACAAAGGAATTGATAGATGACTTACCCAAGGGCAGGAAACTGAAACAGTATAGAACAGATCAGGACTCAAACCCTAGTTTTTTTTTGTTTTGTTTCGTTTATAAATTTATTTTTTACTTATATTATTTATTTTTGGCGGTGTTGGGTCTTTGTTGCTATGCATGGGCTTTCTCTAGTTGCGGTGAGCAGGGGCTGCTCTTTGTTGCGGTGCGCGGACTTCTCATTATGGTGGCTTCTCTTGTTGCAGAGCACAGGCTCTAGGCGTGTGGGCTTCAGCAGTTGTGGCACGTGGCCTCAGTAGTTGTGGCTCATAGGCCCTAGAGTGCAGGCTCAGTAGTTGTGGTGCATGGGCTTTGCTGCTCCGTGGCATGTGGGATCTTCCCGGACCAGGACTTGGACCCGTGTCCCCTGCATTGGCACGTGGATTCTTAACCACTGCGCCACCAGGGTAGTCCTCAAACCCTAGTTTTTTGATTCCACATACTGTGATCTCTGATTAAATACAAACTTTTCCCCATACTTAGTTAATTTTAAAGATCTGTAAAATGAAACAACAGGTGCTATATTTGTTTTTTAAAAATCCACATACAGGGGCTTCCCTGGTGGTGCAGTGGTTGAGAGTCCGCCGATGCAGGGGACACGGGTTCGTGCCCCGGTCTGGGAAGATCCCACATGCTGCAGAGCGGCTGGGCCCATGAGCCATGGCCGCTGAGCCTGCGCATCCGGAGCCTGTGCTCCGCAACGGGAGAGGCCACAATAGTGAGCGGCCCACGTACCGCAAAAAAAAAAATCCACATACAAATGGTCCCATGCAGTTCAAACCCATGTTGTTCAGGGGTCAATGGTATATATATATATATATATATATTTATGGAGGCTGGTGCAAGTCTGATCCATTATCATTCTGTGCTTTCCTTTGTTTATAACTTTCCTTTAAATCTATTCTGAAAATGGATATATGTTCAAAGGCCAAAGTGATGAAATTGCACTTAAAAAAATTTTTAAGGTACATTTTTATGAAGCTTTTGCTGCATAATTTGGTTAAAACCATTTTTCATTTTAGAAAGTAGACAAAACTACCTCTTTTTGGACATACCCAACCAATATTTGAGAAAGCAAGTGATCATCTTTTGACATAATTGCAAAATATTAAACATGTGATTATTTCTATAATTTCCAAGATAACCTCAGTTCTGAAGAGGTAAATAGCATTGCCTTTTAGTTTCATTCCTCTATAAAAATTGGTCACCTATGGCACCTATGATTTTTTAAAAAATCTATTACATCTTTTCTATCCCTATTTCAAAAATACTAATCTTAAAATGCTAATATTCAACACAAACTTCAAAAGTGGGTTCGTATACTGGTTACTTTGTAAAAAATTTTGACCTTAAAAGAGCTACCTTTAGCTATATAAGGTTAGATCTATTCCTAGTATTTTACATGTGCTCAGTAGTTTTAAAAATAATGATGAAAATCTTGGGGTGTAAATTTACATGCAGAGTACTGAGCAACATAGTCCTAGCAAAAGAAACTAGATTTAAAATCAAACCCATGTTATTCAAATTATCAAAACTTTTATTAATAGCTGGTGTTTTAAAATTCATTTCCTGTAAAAAATAACCTTATTAATACTGTTCACATGTGTCCCTCTTGAGACCAGAAAATTGCCTTCTCTATATAATTAATTTTGAATTATAAGGGAATAATCAATTTTGAATTTCAAATGAAGAAACCAAATTAATGGGAATCATTGGAAAAGAAGGAACTATTCCACTGTCTGCCTCTTGGTTAGTTCTGAAAGTATTACGCTCTCAGTGATGAAGAAAAACAAGTTGACAATTATCTATGCTTATTCGCTGAACACCTTGGAACCCATTGGTAATTGATCAATATTTAATTTTGTATAAAGCTGGGGTATTACAGGGCTGGTATTTGTCATATTCCTCTTTAGGACAAAAGTAGCCTATCTTCAAAGCTTTCTGTAAGTATCAATCTAAACAGTTCCCATTAAACCAATTAGATATGTATGTCTTATTGTCAGAACTGTCAGGAAAATAAGAGCCTTTGTTTGAGAAACAAGACTGCGTTCAGGTCATACTTCTGTCGTAAGTTTGTTTGTGTTTTTAAATATCTGAAAATTAAACAAGGCTTCTTAGAGTTGGAAAATTGGCAATCCAAAGAAATAAGTAAAAAAAAAGGGGAATTAGAGAGTGTCTGTATGTGTAGTAAAAATGAACTATGAATCAGTAGTTATTTTAGTACCTAATGGTATGAGGTCCTATGCAAGTCATTCTACTTGCTTTAAAGGATCACTTAATACCATAAGGAGGAACATCTTCTCTTCAGACTTATCCCAATCGAAAGAGCTGTAAGTGACTCCAAAGACCCAGTAAGATGAAAGTAGAAATTACCTGGCTGCCTAGATATATAAAAATGCTTATATGCTGTAATAATTTAGTAGTCTTATTCCTTTCTTAACACTTTTTCAGGGAATTCCCTGGCAGTCCAGTGGTTAGGGCTCAGCAGCCGTGGTCCGGGTTCAAACCCTGGTCAGGAAAGTAAGATCCCGCAAGCGGAAAGCATGAGGCATGGCAAAAAAACCAAACCAACAAACAAAACAAAACAAAACACTTTTTCACACTGGCAAAGTCTACATGGGTGACTTTTTCTGAAATATCCATGTGAGAGAAAGAAAAATCAAGGACGCTTCCTTTAATGGTATAGTGATTCAATTACCCAGTTAACGTTTCTGGGGTCACTTCAGTCTACCTAATGACGAACTTACAACGAAGGCTGAGCCATATTCTAATCCTGTGATCCCATTTCACCGGAGTAGGAACTGAGGTATATACAGTTCCTACTTACCTTACGGGTAACAGTAACGGTCTCTCAATGCGGTATGTCAAAGTCAGGGCGGGGGTTTTTTTTTTTTTGGCTGCACCAGGTCTTAGTTGCGGCACGTGGGATCTAATTCCCTGACCAGGGATGGAACCCGGGCCCCCTGCATTGGGAGCGCAGAGACTTAACCACTGGACAGCCAGGGAAGTCCCAGGGCGGGTTTTTAAGTAGCTACTCCAAATTAGCTAATTTCTGTTTAGCGGCCAATCACTTTATTTGAATATCAATTCACTAAACATTGTCAATTCCTACACGACACCCATCTTGGGCCTACACCTGCTTCTCACCCTTTTATCTCCAGCACCTCCTGCGATCATTTACTTAGGGGAGGCGCTTTAGTAAATGTTTGTTGAATAAATTCACTCAAACGTGTCAGCAAAAACTGATAGGCAGTTAGAAGTACACAAGGGTAAAAAGAGCAAATAAGGCAATGGGATCTGACAGCATTCCTAATGAAGAAAACTCAAGGAATTTGGTTTCCTAAGATATCAATGCCAATAATTTGATATGACCTCAAGCAAGCTGGTGAAAAAGAACAGCTTTCCAAAAACTGAGAAGCCACAGACAGAAAATATTTACAAAAGATATTATCTAAGACGATCATCCAAAATATACAAAGAACTCTTAAAACTCAACAGTAAGGAAGTGAATGACCCAATTTAAAAATGGCAAAAGACTTGAATAGACACGATATTACAGATGGCAAATAAACATATGGAAAGATGCTCAACATCATATGTCATTTATTGCAAATTAAGACAATGAGATACTACTACACACCTATTAGAATGCCAAAATCAAGACAACACTAAATGCTGGCAAGGAGGTGGAGCAACAGGAACTCTCATTCATTGCTTGCAGGACTACAGAACAGAACAGCCACTTCGGAAGTCAATCTTACCGTTCAATCCAGGAAACACGCTCCTTGATATTTCCCCAAATGAGTTGAAAACTTATGCCTGCACAAAAATCTACACACGTAGGTTTATAGCAGCTTCATTCATAGTTGACAAAACTTGGAAGCAACGAAGATGTCCCTCAGTAGGTGAATGGATAAATAAACTGTGGTATATACAGATAAGGTGGTATTATTCAGCACTTAAAAAAAAAAAAAGAGCCATCAAGCCACGAGAAGACGCGTGGAGGAAACAAATGCATATTACCAAGTAAAAGAAGCCAGTCTGAAGAGGCTACATACTGTATGAGTCCAACTATCAGACATTCTGGGGAAGGCAAAACTATGTAGACAGTAAAAAGATCACTGGTTGATGGAGGCAGGCAGGGGAGGGGGGTGAGCAGGTGGATGTTTAGACTGATGAACCTATTTTGCATGCTACCATAATGGTGAATATATTTCACTATAAATTAGTCCAAGCCCATAGAATGTACAATCCCAAGAGTGAACCCTGACGTCAGCTACGGATGCTTGGTGA